ACCAGATAAAGACAGATGATTATGAAATTAAAGACTGTTGAATAGTGCATAAGCACAAAGGTGCCAAATTAAGACAGCAGGGTCAACTGTAAATTTGGCATTTCCTAACTTATGAGTGCTTTACTTTGCAACTTGAATAATGTTCTTGTAGCCTAATGGTTTTGTTCGGTATGTTAAGGACCATTATAAAGAGGATAGTAATCAGTTTTTTTCCATGTTCACTGCAGGTAGGACAATAAGTAATAGGCTTAATCTACAGCAAGAAAGATTTAGGTTAGGTGTTAGGAAAACTTTCTAATTATAAAGGTAGCTAAGGACTGAAACAGGCTTCCAAGGAAGATTGTGGAATCCCTGTCATGGGAGTTTTTACAAACAGGTTAGACAAATACCAGTCAGAGATGGTCTAGGTTTACATGGTCCTGCATGAGCATGGACTGTATGAGCAAAGTCCATTCCGACTCTACATTTCTAAGATTCTGTGGTGATTCATGGAGTCATTACAAATATTTGACTTTCTGTTAGTCTTACTTTTAATATTTTTTCATCTTATGGTCAGGTTCTATTGAATAGGAAAATATTTTGAGTTCTCTCAAATAAAACAAGGAAATACCAGTATTAATATAGACTAACTGTAAATGTTTGGTTTTGCAGACTCTCAGGTATTAATGCTATTTCAGTGCTTATGAAAGAAACTATTTCCAACTTCTTGTGCCAATTTTTATCCTGAGTTTCAGTGACAACTATAATAAAATTAATTTACTATGTTTACTGATGTGCAATCATATAAAATATTAAATTGTTTCAATTATTCTGTCCCTTGCTACATATGTGTGTCATCTGGCAAGATCCCAGCGCCAGGCATGAAAGGGTTATGTTTCAATTTAGAACCCTTGAGTTGACCCAGTCTATTATAATCCAAGGAGAATGTGGTCACACTTGAGACACATCTGCTTGCTGACAGAAAGCAGATCCTAAAAACGGCAACTAAATTATGGAATTTCAGTGATGCAAGAGTATGGGACTGCAAAGAGCATTTCTTTCCCCAAAAAAATTCACGCAGCACTGTCTTCATTGGTATTAGTGTTGCAGCAGCTGAATCAAATCATACCCAGATGAGAGTGGGATTCTTAAATCACTTTGAGCAGATCATTGTGAAAATTGTAACCAAACCATTATTATTATGTACAAAATCTGTTAAAAAACAATGTAGGTTGTGAAGCCAAGCATTCAAAAGTTAGGAAATGCCAGATTTCTGGCTGCCCATGCAACCCTGATGCTTCCATGCTGTGCAGTGTATGAGACACTGGGTTCTATGGGGGGAAAAAAGCAAGTGATCATGTAATTAAAGACTAACGTAATACATACGTACATGGAGACCAAATTATGATGATGGGGCAACTGTAAATTTGGCATTTCCTAACTTTTGAGTGCATTACTTTGCAACCTGAATATTGTTCTTGCAGCATAGTGTTTTTGTATGTAATTTCCTAGCGGGTTTTTTTTTAAAGAAGAATAAGATGAAACTCAATTTTCAGTATGTATAGCTGTAAAAGCCCATCCTGGATCACCGTACCCTGAAGCTTCAGCATAGACTTTACCACTTGAGCTACAGGACTAACTACATTAGCTGGCAGCAGGAAAAGGCTATTATCCCAGTGTGGCAGACAGACTACTGACACCACATGCTGGGTCCAGGGTGGGTGGGGGAGCCCAGCTTGGCTCTCGTCTCTCCTGGGAAGTTGGCTGGGGACTGCTGCCCCATATGGTCCCCCTGAGAGGGGGATGGGATGCTGGGGCCATGTGCCAAGTCCAGATGTATGGTCTCAGGAGGGAGAGTCTGGCCTGGTTCAGCCCAGGCAAGCTGTCTTCCTGCTCTAGTAGCAACCCAGTGTTCCCAGTGTAGCATGTGGTGCTGCTGCTGCTTCGGCAGTGACATGGGCTGTGTTCTTTAGAATGATCATGATCAACTATTATTTTGGCAGGCTCAGGAACACAAGGGAGAGAAGGGTAATAGCAGGTTTTAATACCACACTATAGGGATCACTATCGCACCCCCCCCCCCCGCCCCTTGCATTGAACCCTCTTCATAACTCAGTAAGATGAGGGAAAGTGGCACATACAACATGACTTCTGATATAGTACTCATTAGTACAGAAGAAGAGTTGAGAGACTTGGACCACCCTAGATGGAACGATACAAGACAGGAGGAGAATAGAACCATCCCATGGGGAAAGGGTGAGAAAAAGGAAAAGGTAGAACTAGGCTCAGGGGAGAAGAGCAGCCCAAGCCTCCAAGAGTCCTGAGATTCTGCACCTCAGAAAGGGCATGGGGAGGAGCTTAGGGGTCAGTTCATGGGACTTGGAGAACCAGAAGCTTTGGGGAAGGAGGGCAACAGGGGCCAACAACAGGGCTGACCCCAAGACAGAGGGGAAGAAAATGAGGCACATGGGCCTACACATTGTACATGGTGTGAAGATCTGTGGACTGAGACCAAATTGTGTGGACATTCCTTATGATTTCTGTGGGTCGAGGATGGAAGGACCCACAAAGGGGATCCTACAAGACTTCCCTGGGACAAACAGGAAAGTAGAGAGTCAAGTGCCTCCTTGAAAAAATGCTCTTGGGTAGAGGGAGGAGTGTGACAGAGTGCTGAGACCTAACAGATGGGATTGTCACGCTGTGTGTGTCACTCAGAAGCCTGGAATATCTGTTGGGTCAGTGGGCAGTGATGGAAACAACTACAAGCATGGTTGAGAGCACTTTGGGGGCAGAATATCACCAGCTTGAATCATCACTGGCCCGTGGTAGAACCCAATGGAATGTTGACGTCCAAAGGTTCTGTGGCAGTTGGAATGTGACAGTTGATCAGAGAAGGTGGGAAGCTACATGGGGTAATAGAGGTGGCCGTGCCTCCAGCAAGGGTGCAGCTCTGTACACAAACCTTGGGGAACATGTATAAACAGCATCATTGCTCACAACAACATGGGGGAGGGATAGCTCAGTGGTTTGAGCATTGGCCTGCTAAACCCAGGGTTGTGAGTTCAATCCTTGAGGGGGCCACTTAGGGATCTGGGGCAAAATCAGTACTTGGCCCTGCTAGTGAAGGCAGGGGGCTGGACTCGATGACCTTTCAAGGTCCCTTCCAGTTCTAAGAGATAGGATATCTCCATTAATTTATTTTAATTTAATTTAACACAGTGCATGGAAACAGAGAGAGCCCTCCATTTTTGGCTTTTTTTACAGACATGATTTTACCAATTACACCCATGCAACAGCATGTGCTTTTAGTTACTAATCCAAAAATAAGGTGTAAACAGATCTAAGGCTAGGTCTACACTACAGCGGGGGGTCGACCTAAGATATGCAACTTCAGCTATGTGAATAGCGTAGCTGAAGTTGCGTATTTTAGGTCGACTTACCTGGCTGTGAGGACGGCGGCAAGTCGACCGCTGCCGCGCCGCTGTCGACTCCGCTGCCGCCTCTTGCCGCGGTGGATTTCCGGAGTCAACGGCGGAGCGATGAGGGATCGATTTTATTGCGTCTTCACTAGACGCGATAAGTCGATCCCCAATAGACCGATTGCTACCCGCCGATCCGGCGGGTAGTGAAGACGTGCCCTTCGATTCATTCCCTTAGAGAGTAGGCTAGTAATGAGTGCCAGATAATGCTTGCACTGCTATAAGGCAATAATCAATGCATGCAGGATTTCTCAATAAAATAGCTCAGAAAGCTGATTGGGAACAATCAGATTTTTTTGGAACTGATCCCTCTCTTTCTGAAAGTGCTGCCAGTGGCCTATGTTCGTTTGTTTTTCTGAGTTTTTATATTTAAATGCCCAATAAAGCTTGAGTAGCATAAACAAGAGACATATGCAATGTGTTTGACATAATTTTTATTTACTTTCAGCTATGTTGTGTGGGAATAAGAGATTAAAACATCAAGATGGTTTCCAGTGGAAATATTGTATTCAAAACCCAATAGAAGACATCCTTAGTGTAAATTTGAAGTCAATGGAGCAATACCACTTTACATAGGTTGAGGGTTCCATTGACTTCAGTAGAGTGCAGCAGGGATGTATTTGGCCCACCATGTCATTGTTTCAAATACCAATAGTAGGATATTTAATACTAAAAGTTTTTGGATCTTTGCTCTCAAGACTGCATTTATTATGAGTGATAAATCAGAGGACAAGCTTTATACATTCTCTTCGTTTTAGCATATGACTTCTGTTATGAATTAGAATTCTTTGCAACCATACAAGGATCCCAATGCACATTACAAACGTGAATTAACAGAGATTTGCCACGCCCCTATGCAAGGTAGGTCTATATTTTAAACCCATTTTATAAATGGATAAACCAGAGGACAGAGAAACTATGTGACTTGTTCAAAGTCACACAGTGTCAGTCCAGTTCTTTACTACAGTACAGTTTTGATGACATAACTATGTTAGGAATGTGAAAAAACAATGCCCCCAGCCGACAAAGCTATACAGGCAAACCCCCTTGTGTAGATACAAATATGACGACAGAAGAGGGCTTCTGTCAGCATAGCTAACATCATTCAGAAAGGTGATGTTTCTACACCAGCAGAAGGACACCTGTTGGCATGTGCTATGTCTACACTAGGGATCTCCACTGGTGCAGCTGTACTGCTATAGCTATACCACAAAGCATTTGTAGTGTAGACAAGGCCTCCAAGTGGTATGTCCTGGAATAGAAACCAAATTCTATCAATGGAGTTACTCCAGATTTGCACCAGATGTAACTGACAGCAGGATTTGGCCCCAGGAGTTCTGACTACCAGTTTTAATCACTAGAAGCAATTGCTTGTGTTGGTTGCATGCAGTGGTACAGAAGATGTATAGTATTACTTTGTACAAATAACCTATTGCATATGTACCTGAATTGCTTGCAGTTTTGTATTTTTTTTTCTGAATGACTTTATTTCATCTAAAGGAATATGCTAAAATTGCATATTTTCATCTTTTTTTTTTTCAGATCAATGCAGTTCGATCAATTGTTCCTAACAAAAGCAATAATGAAATAGTTCTGGTGTTGCAGCAATTTGATAACAATGTAGACAAGGCAGTTCAAGCTTTTATGGATGGTGAGTATACTGTACATATTTCACTAAAGCATGAGGAATTAACACTAAATACTTTCTAGTTGCCTGAAATGTGGGCTGTAATTTTGTTGAAATGTCAAGAACCATGACTGCTTGTCTGTACATTTTCTGTTAATTCCTAGTAATTTTCACCTTCACTCCACCAGTGTTGCCAGCCTGAACTGCCTAATTATTTACTTCTCCCTGTCTTTCCATTTTCTGCCACATCATTCTTTATATGTGGGACTCCCTTCTTGATCTATTCTGTACAGTCACTTTCCTCCCCTCCTTTAACTCTCTCCTCAAAACCCACTTCCATCCTGACACTTACAGGAAATTGCCATCCAATAGTAGCTAGGATGAAGGCCAGTGAGGATCGCTGGTATTATTTACTTATTTATATTTTTTAAAAAATTTGAATGATTAATTTAGGCACATACAATCCATATGTATTACACGCATTCTCCTTCCCCTCCTTGCCTCTCTTGTTTGCTACATTCATTTGTCTCACCTTGTCTTAAATTAGAGAGAAAGGATGGTCCAGTGGTTAGGGCACTAACTTGTGACTCAGGAGCCCCACGATTAATTCCACACTATGATGATGATCAAGTCGATTAGTATCTCTGGGCCTCAGTTCCCCATCTGTGAAATGGGGATAGTAACATTTCCTTACCTCACAGTGGTGGTGTGAGGATAAATACATTAAAGATTGTGAGATGCTCAGATACTATGGTAGTGGGGGGCATATAAATAAATAAGATGGATAGATTTGCAATAATATCTTTGGGGAAGGAACAGTCTCTTATTGTGTGTTTGTACAGTTGGGCCCTGGCGCTGATAGGATCCTTTGGTGTTACTGCAATACGTAGAAATAATTCTGTTTTTCATATCCTATTTCAGCCTTTCAGAGATTGCTTCTAAACATTGACCAATAAAGAAGATAAAATGTGTGGCTTGAAAAGCTACAATGTCTCTAAATATAAAGTGAATGAAAACATAAAAGTGAATATATCAGAAGAAGGTTACCAATGATAAAAAGCAAGGATGGTTCTGAAGCAAATGCCAAGATCCCCTGAACTTTGTGTGTGTGTATTGAAATTTAAACATAGATTTGAATTTTGCAAATAGCCTTTACCTTTATAATGGGCTGAACCAAGTCTCCAGTGAAACATTGGAGCATTCCAAATCTGGAGCCAGCTTCAAATTTTACAGCTTGATCCCATCTTTAATGATAAATGAAGACATTTGTATTTAAATAACAATCCTTATGTAACACTAATATATTTGAGTTCTCATTTAAATCTTTTGTAAAAAAACCTATTTTTACTATGCTTGGCACACCATTAGGAAATCTTGTCAAATATCAGGGTGTTAGGACTGCTTTAAGAGTTACTATATGTTTACTGGTTTCAAAAGGCCTAGGCATATTCAAAAACAAACAGCAGCAGCTGGGTGGTCTGTGTAGCCTGATTTCAATACAGTATAACCAATAGAGACATTGAGTATCCCACTGTATTACTCACTTTATATACATGTTGTTTAAAAAGGAGATATTTATAGATGTAGGGATATAGATATATATTTCTGTTTTAGAATAACTGTCTAAAATATATGGTCCAAGAAGCATCAGTCCGCCTGGGCCAGAAATTATATACCAAGATACAGAAAGCAAATGTAAACACAAAAACTATATACGCATGCATCAAAATTCTTCCATCAGATCCATACGGTGCATCTTGATACAGGCATCCTACTCTCCATTTATCACTGCCATTGACAACAGTTGGATTTTGATACATTTAGCGGGTACAGGAAATCAGAGTCTATATCTGCCCCAACATGGATCTGGGTGAATGAATTAAATCGAATTATAACATTTTTTTTATTTTATTTTAACTAGCTACAACAATTTTTCCTAGTTGACGTATGGCCTGGGGAAAGTGGGGGAATTTATTTTATTTTTGTGCTTCATGGTTATTCAATATTATACAGTGAGAGGTTGCTGTTTATTTTATTTATGTGGACCTATCATGTTTTAAATAATTGTCAGAGGCATGAGTGCTGAGTAGGTGCCTCCTTGTCATTTTAGAAATCCAAAGAAATAAAGCAAATAAATGTTGTTAATTCCTAATGACACTTATTTTTACCCAGTCATACAATTTACCACAGACACGATGGATTAATTTAATGAGTGTGACATTGCTTGAGTCATGTAAAATTAGATTGTGCCCAGTACTAGTCTGTATACATTAAGGAACAATCCTACATCTACAGGGATATGTGTTAGATGAACACATATCTTTTCCATCTATAGATTTATTTTTTTTAAACGGTTGTCCAGAATATACATAGAAAGCACATAATTGAGTGGTGTGTTATAAAAAGTTCATGGGCATATGTTTGGATGACCATGTTCTTGATGAGTGAATTAGGCAGATCATCCTAAAAGAGTGCCAATAAAGCCTTTTTATTTCACCATCATGTCTTCTGAATATGACAGATATTTCACAGGAGATATTAGAGTAAAATGTTAAGTTTTTAAATATTTTTCTTTTTAAATAATCCTCCACCAGTGTACCACCTAGGCTGTCTTAGAGGGGCAAGTACCGTTAGTAATGAACTAGGCTACCTTGGTACCTTTGGCCGCAATGCATCCTTAATTTAAAACACATGAGCAAAGCACTTAAGCATATGTTTTCAATGGGCCTTAAGCAGGTGCTTTGCTGATTCAGGGCCACAAAGAGCACATATGCTAAGCAGCCTGCATGCTATAGTCTAATGTGAAGCATAAGAGATTTCAAACCAGAAGATTATAGATATATTATATAGAGATACTCACCATATACAAGTTTGTGTCACTGTTTTCCTACCATGAATTTGTCTAATTTAGAGAATTTCTAAGAAAATTTTTCCAATCTTCAAAATAGAATGATGAAAAAATACTAGTTATGATAGGGAGACAGGTAGATGCAAATAATAAAACTATGCATGAACTGTAAATCAAATAAATATGACATTGAGGAACATAAAAAGTGAAATACAGCAGATTGTTTCTCCAACATGTGAAACACTTGTAAAAACAAATGGGAACATAAGAAACATCACCTACCTAGGAGACCGGGAATCATTTCTGAACACCGTTGTTTTTTATCACAGCCAAACTTTTGTTGAAGTATTTTTATCTTTTCCTACTTTAGGCAGTGCAGCTCAGGTACTAAAAGAATGGAATATGACAGGGAAAAAGAAGGTAAGGACTCACTCTTGAGAGTTAAAACATTAACACCATTTATCAGCGTTCTGTAGTAGAGTGTAGCAGCAATCATTGTTGCCAAATCTTGTGCTAATTTGCTAACATGATAAATGATTTGATCCACATCTGTATTCAAAAGGCTTCAAAGTAAATGTGCACCTTATTTTCTAATCCACCTCTGTTATCTCTCTAGATTGCTGCTCAGGTAGGGTTTCCAGGTCAGTAGGGTACACACATGGGAACCAAACTCTAGAAATACACAGAATGGCTCGCCAAAATAGTACACATACACTGCACAAGAAGCTTTAATATATACCTATATTCCGGCCAGCAGCAGCCCCTTGCAGAATTTCCAATAACCACCCAAGGTAGGCTATGGCTGCCAGGAGTATGAATAATCTGTGTTGGGGCAATGTATAAGGATAATTACCAAGTTAGGATCATGTAGATCATACCCCAGATGTCTAGGACTGACCCTCACCATCAGATTGGTTCTCTAAGGGTTACATCACGGACTACCTGGGGCCATGGATTCTCAAACTTTTGTACTGGTGACCCCTTTCACACAGCAAATCTCTGAGTGCCACCCCCCTTATAAATTAAAAACACTTTTTAATATATTTAACACCATTATAAATGCTGGAGGCAAAGCAGGGTTTGGGGTGGAGGCTGACAGCTCGCGACCCCCCACATAACCTCACGACCCCCTGAGGGGTCCTGACCTCCAGTTTGAGAACCCCCGCTCTAGTGCGCACCTTCCAGAATGAATCCTAGTGGTTTTGTTTATTTAAAACAAACAACAAAATGCCATTGTGTACATACTCACTAAACATGCTCCGCAAGGAATTAGTCGCATTACGAGGTCAGTACTTTTGCTTTTGACAATTATGAACTGCTCAGCCAGTGTGATTGCAAACTTTTGTGGAAGCAGCACAATTCAAAGCAGGTACTTGAAAAGAAGCTTCTTATACTATGATGCTATCATGGTTTAAAAATGCAAATATTCCAGGCAGTGAAAAAATAAATGTGGTGTAGGACTCTAACTTCTGCGCATATTTCATTTTATTTTTGTTTCAAACAATGTATATATTCAGTTGAACAGATAAAGCATATCACAGTACATCATGGTCTGTAAATATCATTACAGCGATTACAGCTTGTGAGGCTTTTTTCAGAACTGAAGAGAATGAACAATTTATTGCTCATATTTTGAGTTAGTTTGACCAATGCTGAGTAATGTTTCTGTCCTTGAAATATTTCTCAATTTAGAATAATAAAAGAAAAAGAAGCAAATCTAAACAGCATCAAGGCAATAAGGATATGAAAGAGAAGAATGATAGAACTGAAAAGGTTTCCCTAGAGCCCCAAGAGATATATAGCTGCCATCTGAATGGATGTGACAAGGATAACTCTTCCAATGACTCTGCCAATGAGAAATCAGAAGTCGTTTCTCATGAGAACAAAAGCTGTGGATTCGAGGAGGTGGTGCAAGCACATCCAGAAATCACAGGTCAGTGTGCTCTGCAGAAGGCACCTTTATAGCCAGGGCTGGGCCAAGCCAACATGCACAAAGAACTTGGCACCTTTACTGAAGTAATGTTACATTTAATTTTAAAAAATCAAGCAGACAGCTGTGTTTGGGCAAAATAGGCCCTAGTCTTACAAGGAGAACCAAGCAGGAGGACCCTACATGGGAACCGTTCTCTTTGCAAGATCAAGACCTAAATGTCCTTATCTCAAGAGAAAAAAGGACTAAAGTCTAATTAGACTAGTTGAACGTGCCCCATCACCAGGCAGTATAGGCAGTTGAGTGTATGAGAGAGACAGCAGTGACAAGGCCCCACAAAACAGCCCAAAGTGACTCTGGCTTTAATGGAATGTCACATGATTCCCTTATTGCTTAGTCACAGCCCCTTCTGCTTTTATTTACATACTGTAGTCCCTATCTAGGTGAATAGCTGCAAAACTCCCAATGACTTCCCTGGGACCATCCTCTGGCCCTACTGCTGGGAGATTCAATCTGGCAGCTTCTCTGATTACATGCTGTTCAACCAGGATTTGCATGGTGTCTCTGGAACTCCTGGAGGCAGTGATGAAAGTTGCAGTCTCCCACTGTGGGGCTCTTTTGAAATGAGGTTTGTTTGTTTTTTTTGTAACATCAGTGAAAACAAACCTCAGCCTTTTGGGGAGGATACTCAATGAAAGCCTACATGCCTTTGCCTTCAAGTATCCTTCCATAAAGTTCATGTTTATTTTTAATTGTACTTCTTGCTGATACATTTTTCAACTCCTAGCATTTCAAAACTTCTGAAGGGCCTAGATCAATGCCACTGTTATTGTTGTTCTTGCTAAATCTTAAGCAATACATAAAAGTTGCATTGCGTTAAAGGAGCTTACCTTGAAGTCACTTTGTTCATGATTACAAACATGCTACTCAAACCAAACTTTAAAGATTTATGCCAAATATATAGCTGTCCTGAAACTGATTCTGTGCTACTTATAGAACACTTTGGTGTCGGTGCCAACCTCTGGCCAACGAGATACAAATTCCAGCAAAACAGAATAGCTGAGCAAGGAACTGTCTTGAAAAAGAGATGCATGGGTGAGGTGCAGCAATGTTCTTATGTTTCAGCAAAGGCTCTCCATTCCTATAGCTAGAAATGTGTTGTGACGACGAAGTTCCAAATTTCCATATCAAAGTATAATGATCATTTATTCTGAAGTCTATAAATATTCATGTAGTATTATTTTCTCTGTAATATCTGGTAATGGCTACAAATACATCAAGCTGCCTCAGTAACTCTCTTGGAGGTGCCATCAAGGCTGGAATTTTCAAAGTTGGCGAGGTGCATGAATACAGATACACATGCCTAAGTGGGACTTAAGTTTCCATGAAATTTTCAAAAAAATGGTGGATGTGAGTGCAAGGTACCTGTGTGCTTTGAGGAGAGTGCCTATATTATTTGGGACGTTGTGTGTGTGGCCAGGGGGTTAGGTGTGTTTTCCATCTCTTTCAGTTGATGCAAACAAAAATTTTATATGTATAAAATAAAAACATGTAAAAAGATTTAAGGATCCTTCTGTCTGGCAATTGCAATTAATGACATTGATTTCACAATTCTACTATAATTTTACATGTTAATATAAACGAAAGTATTAACCATATCCAAATAGTATTAATTATTTAATAAACAAAAGTATAATTGCAAATTTTCTGCAGCAGAAGCAGATACTTGCTTAATTCTACTATGCCACCGAAACATTCAAATTGAGGAAAATGTCTTCCTGGAAACATTCTGAAATGTGGTGGAAAGAGTTTCTCCTTTAGTTCACTTTCAACTTGAGCATGAGGAAATATGTTGATTCTATAGAAAAGCGCAGTAGCAGCCTTGTTTCGGTCAAAGAAGCAATATATATACATCTTGCTAAACACGTATAGAAGTGAAAGGAATGGTACACATCAAAATGTTGAGTAGGATCCCTGAGAGGTCAGCTGCCATACTCTTGTGGCTTCTGATCAAGATACATGACATGCATTGAAGAGCTGGAAAACAGTTTGGAATTAAGTCTAGCATTTCTAAGCATCTTGGTTTAGATGTTCCCTTTGCATTGTAATCTCCTTTGTTTTGTTTGTCCTCTTTTTTTTTTTTTCACTTGCTTCTGTGTTTTCCAGTGTTCATGTGATACTTTTCCATCAGACATTTATTAATGCTCTCAGTTCTGAGCTCTGCTCTGAGCAGTACATTTATTTGGTTTCCTAGACACTGGGTCCAGGGTCTGTTTCAGGTGAGGGGGCATTTTAAATGTATTTCCAGCTGTTCAAGCCTGAAAATTATCATTTGAATGAATGAACTTAGGCAATGACAAGCCTGGTGTGACTTTGTGGACCACAGTTTTAGGCCAGAGGCCAGTGTGCCTATGTAGGTTTTCTGACATAGGGACTAGGATACACTCCCTGTTCCTATTCATGGAGTTTCCTCTGAATCATCCTGTCAGAGGCATGGGTCTAGGCAGGGCTTGTGGAAATGGAAGGGGATTCCCTTCCGCAACCATCAGATGCTCATGATCTAATGAGGACATTGGCTTCTGCTCCAGGCTCATATGTCTCCTTACAGCTCTTTAGGCTCCCCTCAGCATTAGGTGGGTGAGGCAGCAGCATTAGGTCCCCTGCCTCCCCTTCCCTGACTTAGCTTCCTGAGCCATGAAATCCTCAACACACAGAGGGGTTTCTGGGACCAGAAGGGAGAATGCAGCAAAGCTGGTTGTCTCCCCTCACACCACATTCTACTATCCTACCTGTTGTGGTGGGAGGTAACCCGTTGACCACTGTCTTTGCTCACCTAGTGGTAATGCTATTACTGCTGGACACAGTCCATTGCTCTTTAGTTGAAGTACCTTTTTTTCGTTGTTTCTTTAAGAAACTTTTTTTTTAATTGAGAGTTGTGATATAACAGTCTGCAGATTATAAAGCTAAGAGAAGGTTTAGAGTGAAGTCCAGCTTACTTGTTTCTTACCTGGCTGGCCACTAAACACCACATAAACCCGCAGCACTCTCCCATTACTTTGTATTGTCTTAATGTTTAAGTTTCACATGCTTTATATAATCAGCACTGACTAATGGGGAGGATGTGTCCTGGCCCTCATTGACCTGCTGGAGGAATTGAGGGACTGAGACTGGATCAGCTTCTGTAGCTAGTCATTGAGGGCCTGGATATGTCCTCGCCATTGGCTGCTTCACAGCATTACTCCTGGAGCGTACATCTCAGGCTCAGAAGTTCTCAGCTGTCCCAAGTACCTGCTTGAGGCAGCTGATGTGGGGGAGGCAAAAGTAGTTCTCAGTTACTGTTATGATTTCTTTAATCATGGGCACAGTCAGGGCCCCAACCAATCCCCAAAGCAAGTTAGAGTAGCCACTGGCCTGCTGCTGGTTGAGCCACATGGTCCCCTGGGGACCTTTCTGTCAACCAGGAATGCCTTACGGCGGTGGTTCTCAAACTTTTGTATTGGTGACCCCTTTCACATAGTAAGCCTCTGAGTGTGACCCCCTCCCCTTATAAATTAAAAACACTTTTAAATATATTTTACACCATTATAAATGCTGGAGGCAAAGCAGGGTTTGGGGTGGAGGCTGACAGCTCGTGACCCCTCATATAATAACCTTGTGACCCCCTGAGAGGTCTTGACCCCCAATTTGAGAACCCCTGCCTTACGGCTTCCATCAAATGTGCTCCCTACCCTGAATTGCCATCTGCCTGTCCCCTGCCAGCCCTGACACACACCTTGTAGCAGGTGGCTCAGGAAGGTCTGTTGTCAGCTTTACACAGGATTCCCTCATACCAGGGCAGCTCTAAGGTCACTTTGTGTCACTCTGCCAGCACATAGTGACTTTTGCGAGGCCCAGGATCTGGCCCCTTAAGTGTCTGCTGTCAAATCATTATTTATCATTGCTCCATTCCTGCTGCTCTGAGACCTTTGGGACTGCTCTGTCAAACAGCAGTGTCTCCCTCAAACATATTTGGTGGCTAATACTTCCCAGTAGTTTTCATCTGCTGTGTTCAAGCACCACGATGCTAGATGGCCCTTTCTCCATTTACATCCAGCCACAATTTGGCCTTGTGTATTTCAAATACTTCTGATTCAACCATTTACCAGAGCAGGGATAAGGAATCCCATTGCAGTTGAGACACTACCTGGGGACAGTTATAACTGGTACTGTACATTAAGCAGCTGTTATTTCTCTTTTTAGAAAAGGCTTAGCCCAATGAACACTAATTGTGCCTTGTTGAATGTGTCCATTTAATGAATGATCTTTCTCTAACATGGTGCTTTCAGTGATATCTTTCTGCAGCCATACCACCTTTTCCTATGATTTTGTAAAAACTCACAGTTTAAGTATGGTCATGTCATGACAGTACTTAGAAGATAAACTGTCAGATAAAACCCAGCATGGTACTAGGGGCACTGTGCTGCTGCAGGTGCCATCTTTCCTGTGAGATCTAAACCCAGTTCTGGATCACACATAATTAAAGATCCTATGGCATTGTTTCCAAGGGCAAAGGTGTTAACAGTTACTCTGAAACAGCCACCATTTAAAAGAATGTCCTAAAAATAGCTAAATATCAGCTCATGTAACCTCTTAGGCACTATAATTTAATACTAAACGTAAATCAGGCTGAAAAATTTAAAGCGCCATATTGCTACTTATTGTGAGTTTTGGACTTAGCTGAAACCGGCCTGGACCTGGCTTGGCACAGAGGGCTGGACTAGATTTTATGAAACTGGATACACACATGCCATTTTGAGTCCCACTTTTCTCAGTTGTTTTTCATGTAGGGCAATTGTGCTAACTTCCCCAAACTACCTGCTTACATCTCAAGAGAGCTTTTCCTCAGCAAACGATTCTGTCAAGGCAATTTTTTTTAAAGGTTTTGAATGTCAAGGTGTTATAAAAAGATAAAACACACATTCCATGGTCTGTGGCACAGCTGGAGACTCAGAGTGAGTTTCTGTGAGCGTTCCATTATTAGCATGTCTGATAAACGCTTAACCATCAATACACCAGAGATCACATCTTAGACTAGAGTTAGTGTTCCAAGCCCTCATGAAATACAAAATGCCACAAAAATGTACTCTGTTAGCTCTTATTACATAAGTCATTGATTTTTCATTTAGATGTTTGTTAGAGTCACAGATCCCTAATCTTTGTTGTAAGTGTTGCTGAGCTGGCACAGTTCTGCAGGGATTTGATGCAGACTTCCCCAAACTACTTTAATTTTGCTGAATTTCCTCAATTGAACTTGAAAGTCTTGTTGCAACATGTTTAGATGTTGTTTGCTAGGCTATGTCGATATCTTACTACTGGGCTTCAAAGTACAGTAGAACCTCAGAGTTACGAACAGCTCAGGAATGGAGACTGTTCGTAATTCTGAAATGTTCATAATTCTGAACAAAATATTATGGTTGTTCTTTCATAAGTTTACAACCGAACATTGACTTAATATAGCTTTGAAACTTTGCTATGCAGAAGAAAAATACTGCTTTCCCTTTATTTTTTTTAGTAGTTTACGTTTAACACAGTAGTGTATTGTACTGTATTTGCTTTTTTTTATTTTGTCTCTTCTGCTGTCTGATTGCGTACTTCCGGGTCCAACTGATATGTGTGGTTGACTGGTCAGTTCATAGCTCTGGTGTTTGTAACTCTGATGTTCTACTGTAGAACATTTGATATTTCAAACAAGATGCCAAGGTAAATAGATGAAATATGTAAATGGTAGAAACTATTTTTAAAGTATAACCACTGGTCAAGGTGGGTTTGTTTAAGAGGAAAGGCTTTTTTCATTTGTCATTTTTCTTCATGAATGTCCAAAATTGTTAATTAAGTTCAATAATAGTAATTTTGCACTTAAATAAAGAATATCAAAGCCCTTTACAAACAATGTGCCCAATGTCACAAAACAAGTTGGGACAGATATGGGAATAGAATCCAGGAGTGCTGACTCCCTGTCTGCGGCTTTAGCTGCTAGATTGGTTGCCTTAACTACCTATTAAGACTTGCAGAAGGTTAAAGGTAGTCATATAAGCGCCGAGTTCTTGGCTCCTACTCCTGTGTACAGACTACTACACCTGAATTGAAAAGGTGAAAATTTGCATTTACATTCTGCATAATTAGGACTCTTGACGGTCTGATATTTCTTGTTTCCACCGACCCCTACAAATTTTTCTAACTTGGCTATTTTTGTGTATGTTTAATTCTTTATCTTCTCCAATATACCTTCTAATCCTCTATAAACAAATAAAATGATCACAGCATTCTACACACCACACATTCATACTTCAAATATTTTGGGGCCTGTTTCTCCCCTATGCTACTCCAGTCTTATGCAGTCTTACCCCTGTCTAGTTCAGGCCTACGATATTTGACGAAAGATTAAAATGAGTAAGATATTTGTACCATTTCAGCATAGAAAAGTCTAGTCTCTTTATCATTTTTTGACTGGTGAAACACAAAAATCTGCTCAAATTGGTTTTTAATCACAAAGCCATTGTAATTCTGTTCTGTCAGTCTTTCAGGTTTTCTGTAGAATGCACACTGCTGAAACAGAAACTTCATTTTACCAATGTAGAAACATTCTGATCCAATAACAATGAATCAGAGTAACTCCCTACTCACTATTTGATGTTCTCTTTCAGACAAAAACCTGGAGCACAAGAGAATATCTGTAGATTTAAACCTAAAGTCTGTAAGTGGAACAGAACAGCGAGATACTTTTCAGTCATCAGTTCAACCTCTGAGTAATGTAGGCAGGCCAAAGTCAAAAACATCCACAGTTAAAGCATCCGTCCCTGCAGCCCATCTTGAAACAAAGCCAGATGATTCAATCAAGAAAAAAGGTAAAACAGATTTCTTTTCCTATTACAATTCATCAGTTGTTGTTCAGGGAGGTGATCAGATTTGCAGTGCATCATAGGAGGACTGCATCAAGAGCTGACATGAGGAGGAGAGGCAATGTATTGGGAATGGGATACCAGGGAATATTGCTCTTTGCAGAAGACCACTGTGTGGGATTTTTCACTCTCCTCATCATTCTGAGGGGTTCATAGGTTTAGTGGATCTGATTCTGATCTCCTATAAATCAAGGGTAATTTCGCTGAAGTTAATGAAACTACTCCAGTATGTGTGAGGGCAGAATCAGGCTCAGTGTAACTAATGTGGGCAGGAGTATACCTATTCTGTCTGAAGTGCTTGTTCACAAAGAAAGTGTCATTTGGGAATTTAAGAATGTGTTGTCAGTGTCTAAAACTAGTGTTTGGCCTAGCTTTGATCCAGGGGCTGGAAGGGGGTGAATTTTGTCTAATGTTCTCAGAAGTGGAAGCACCATAGAAATGTTAAGGGTAAAATTGGGGCCTTATTAAGTTAGTGGGAAAACTTTCAATACATTAAGTAGGACCAGAATTTCACTCTAGCCATTCATTACAAGAAGCACTTTGAGATTTTTTTCTCCCCCCAGATTAGACAACAATCGGGTTGTTCACTTTTATACAATTTTTGTTTGTTTGTTTTTTAGGTCCAAACATTGAAAAGTCTGTGAAAGACTTGCAACGTTGCACTGTTTCCTTAACTAGATACCGCATGATGATCAAAGAGGAAGTGGATAATTCAGTGAAGAAAATCAAAGCTGCCTTTGCTGAATTACACAGCTGGTAGGTAAATCAGTGTGGGAAAGACCTCTGCAAATCCTGGGCAAAGAGGGGCTCATGCAGGCCACAAGTGTCTCAGGGAAACTTTGTTTAAATCCTGTTTGTGTATATCATTTGTTTTTAATCAGAAAAGATACAGTGTCAGTAAGTCACACTTAAAAATGCTAAAAAAGCATATATTGAGACACATGGGCCCAATCATAATTCCTAACAATAAAATAAACTGACATAGAGGGTGGGAGTTGAAAGGTCCTTTGCTTTGGCCTAAATTTGCCCTATTGACCTCAGTGGGAGCAGAGTCAGGCCAACATTGAACACTTTTGAAAATCCCACCCATAGAATTCATTAAAGTTCTCCCAAAAGAATCCATACAGTATATAACAAAACTTACTGGCCATATTCTGTCCTCAGAGGGATAAGTGTGATGCCCAATAATTCAAATGGAGGTCTTGTGCACACATCTGAAGGAGTTGGCCCTGCAGATATATAACAATATAGATGTGATATCATTCTGCGATGGATCTGTTATGGTATCATTCTGCGATGGATCTGTTATGGCTTGCTTCAGCTCCCACTGAAGTCATTGGTAGTATTTCCAGTTCCTTCACGAGGAGCAGGAGCAGGCACACAGTCCAATATGCTCAAATAGTGTCTTGAGTCAGGGAGTGAAAGGTCTAACTAAAGGGATCACTCATGAGCAAGGATAAAATAAATGTAATAAAAATAACCAAGAGTAAAGGAGAAATTCTGCTCTCACCTCTGTGGGTGCAGCTAATGGGGTTGCATCCAAATAACTGAAATGATCATTTGGCCCCAAGGCTTTTCTAAGTATATCAGATATAGATTTCTGTTAATATCTAGTGCCCTACCAATACCCTATGCTCTTGGAGGCATTGCTGTGTCGAGGGGGGAAAAGTGAGTTGATCTCTATTCTATGGGGAGCCACACTAATGGAGTGAGGCAGTTTAAAAGCAATGCCAAAACAGTGCCTCTGTCCTGTGCCCTGGTCATTCCTGGTCTGTAGCTAGCTTCACCCACTTCTTGAGCTGTCTCAGCCTGCCCCATGTCCCTCCCCTGGGAGGAGGAGGATTGTGTGGAGCTTGTGGCATTTTATTCCCTGAGCAATCACTCTCCGTGATCCAGGGCCATTGCTTACATTCTGACAGCAAAAGTGGCTGGAACTCAAGAAGTGAACACTGGCCTTTATTTTGAGCAGAGACTCTAGTTCCTGGTGCTTGCTGCTGGAGTTCTATATGTTGTAATTTAATACATTAGGACAAAGACAAACAGTCTTATTATAACATCAAATCCTAGAACGCATAGGAAACTCAATCTTGAACGTACGACCTCGTACCATTCATTTATTCAGCAGTCTCTCCTGTCCAGGATAATAATCAGCAGTCTTACTACTGCTCACGCTTCCAGCACTGTACTTTGACTTCGTAGAGTTACATCTCCTTTACACTGGCATAAGTGTGAACAGAATTAGTCCCAGAGTCTTCAGTGATACTGTGTACAATAGCTGGGTACTGTACATAAGTTACTGTGCCAACTATTGTCTTTCTGATGTTTTCAGATTATAGCATTGGCAAGACTCTGTGATTTGACAAAACAAATGAATCTGCACCAAGCAATGTACAGTGGCAGATCACCTTCCATTGCAAATCCAAATGTATTTTAGATCATTTGAAAACAAGGTCCCCCTGACCTCCCATGGGAATGGAAATATTTAATAGGACAGACACCCTCTAAAGAATACATAGTACGGGGCTGGGTCCTGGATTTAGAGAGACATACCTGCAACTGATGCAAGTCTGCTAGGAAAAAGCAGGGGAGTAAATACAAGGAAAGCCTAGGGACTTGATGACTCATGAAACTGCTAACAGGCTACTGAGCTTTTCATATCTATGTTGCAGCCCAGGTCAGTAGTGACTGAAAGTAGATACCATCTGACGGTTGCTCAATGGCTTTACTGTATGGAAAATAACCTTAAACCTAGAAACTACTTGCTGATAAATTCACAACTATTTTTAAAGTAAAAAAGCTGAATTTTGCAGTTCTGGTCTGTTTTCTCTTCTAATTATTCTGTTTGTCTAAAATTGTATTTGTATACTGGACTAGGGAAGATGATCCCACGCGTAAAGTTAAATGTTTATATGGCAATAATCGTCCAATCCATCTAAATAGCAAAGACAGAGCAGGTCACCTTTCTTCTGAAATTGAAACACAAATAGATTTTCCTTTGTAATACACTTTGGCTCAGTGGAAGAACACAGGAAGCGTCAGACTAGATCACACTCATGGCCTATCAAGGCCAGTGTACTGTCTGTGGTAGTGGCCAGTACCAGATGCTTCAGAGAAAGATATAAGGACCCCACATTAGGTAGATGGGGGATAATCTGTGCCCAGCCTAGGTATCATCCTGTTCTCTAATGGCAGAGATTGACTTTAGCCCTAAAATGTGAGGCTTCATACCCATTGCAAAATATTTGTCATAATTAATTACGGTAATAATGGATGTTCTTGATAACAAGATTTAAAAAGGGATTGGTATGTTCTTGGCCTCAGCGATTTCCTGTGGTAATGGATTACATAAAAACATAAGAATGGCCATACTGGGTCAGACCAGTGGGTCCATCCAACCCAATATCCTGTCTTCTGGCACTGGCCGGTGCCTGATGCTTCAGGGGGAATGAACAGAACAGGGCAATTATCCTGTCATCCAGTTCCAGCATCTGGCAGTCAGAGATTTAGGAACACCCAGAGAACATGGGGTTGTGTCCCTGACCATCTTGGCTAATAGCCATGAACTTATCTAATTATTTTTTTAACCTAGTTAAACTTTTGGCCTTCACAACATCCTCTGGCAACGAGTTCCACAGGCTGACTGTGTTTTTATGTGAAGTAGTACTTCCTCATGTTTGTTTGAAACCTTCTGTCTATTAATTTCATTGGGTGACGTGACATATGGATTCTTGTGTTATGTGAATGGGTAAATAACACTTCCTTATTCATTTTCTGTACACCATTCATGCTTTTATAGACCTCTAGCATATCTCTCCTTAGTTCTCTCTTTTCAAAGCTGAACAGTCCCAGTCTTTTTAATCTCCCCTCATATGGAAGCTGTTCCATACCCCTAATTATTTTTGTTGCCCTTCTCTGTACTTTTTCCAATTCTAATGTATCTTTTTTGAGATGGGGCAACTAGAACTGCAGACAGTATTCAACTTGTGGGTGCACTGTGTGTTTGTATAGTGGCATTATGATATTTTCTGTCCTATTATTTATCCCTTTCTTAATTATTCCCAGCATTCTGTTCGCTTTTTTGACTGCTGCTGCACATTGAGCAGATGTTTTCAGAGAACTATCCATAATGATTCCAAGATCTCTTTCTTGAATGGTAACAACTAGTTTAGACCCCATCATTTTGTATGAATAGTAGGGATTATGTTTTCCAATGTGCATTACTTTGCAATTACCAACATTGAATTTCATCTGCCATTTTCTTGCCCAGTCACCCAATTTTGTGAGATCCCTTTGTAATTTTTTGCAGTCTGCTTTGGACTTAACTATCTTGCATACTTTTGTATCATTTGCAAACTTTGCCACCCCACTGTTTACCCCCTTTTTCCAGATCATTTATGAATATGTTAACAGCACTGACCCCAGTACAGATCCTAGGAGGACGCTGCTATTTACCTCTCTACTGTGAAAACTGACCATTTATCCCTACCCTTTGTTTTCTATCTTTTAACCAATTAGTGATCTATGAGAGGACCGTCCCTCTTATCCCATGACTGCTTACTTTACTGAAGGGCCTTTGGTGAGGGGCCTTGACAAAGGCTTTCTGAAAGTCCAAGTACACTATATCCACTGAATCACCTTTGTCCACATTTATTGACACCCTCAAAGAATTCTAATAGATTAGTGAAGCATGATTTCCCTTTACAAAAGCTGTGTTGTTTCTCCCCCAACATATTGTGTTATCTACATATCTGATCATTCTCTTTTTTTTTTTTAGTTCTCTATCAGAGAATACCATAATACTGAATGAGGTTATATAATTCAGAGTGGCCACTTACAAATAGATGGTGGCCAACAGTAAGTGGGGCACTCATTATGCTTAGCCACATGTTTAGAATGAATTTCAGGACACACAAAAGTGAGGTCCTCATGGTACTAGAATCCAGGCATCACAGAGCAGGGTGCCATGCCAGCTTCTCCCACCTAAGTGCTTACCATCAACAACCCCTTTTGTGGCAACCTAGGAGCTCTGCTGAACAGAGACTGCCATTGCCAGTCATGCAAAAGTATTTAATGTTTTCAGATAAAAATGCTTTGAAGCCATCATATTAATATTTGTTTATGGCCTAAGTGGCAGTAGTTGCAAACCCAGGTGCATACTGATGAAAGGTGAGTTCATTAACCCATTGCATCACCGTTCGTTCTCATAGATATATTGCATGGAACTTTGCATTATAAAACACATTCACAGATTTTGCTAGGAAGCCTTAATGCCTTTTAACTAAGTCAACTGACAGAAGGGGTCTGATTTGCAGCTCAGCTTCAACTCACTCTTCCTTTTTGTGCTGGGAGCTTTGCAAATGCAGTTAATGACATTTTTAAGTTAGGTAGTTGCAATCACTTAGTTAGATCTGTAAATGATATTCATTAGGTCATAAAAATGAAGCATGAGCTGTAGAGGTCTGTCTCAAGGAGTCCGCCTGCAAATGATCTGTGTTCCCATATTAGTGTGTTAGCAGATTGAGAAACATGAGTATTCATTTCTCTATTTATTTCTCTTTTAGCTTATAAAGAGCTGCTATGCTAGACAGCACATGCATCAAAATATATTTACAGTGATAAGAAATCAGTTCAAAAGGCACATGGAACCTGCTCCTGCTCCCATTTAAATCAATAGTAAAACTCCCATCTACTTCAGTGGGAGCAGGATCGTGCTCATTAGGGTACAGAAGTGCCAGCTAGTCTATAAGAAACTAGAA